AAGGCAGGCATGTCACAAAAGACTCTGCCCTCAGCCAACAATTCATTAAGCCTGTTTACTTCTTCAATATCAACCCTCCTTGTCGGTTCCTCTCTCGTCCTCTTCCTCATCTTGTTTCTTTCTTCAGCTTCATTCCAGAGCAATATTTCATCTTCTGTTTCAGGTGAAATCTGGTTGACTAGAGCTGATCTTCCAGTATCGGAGTCACGGGCCACAAACGTGAAGTTTGCAGTTAGAGCCAAAGGGTTTGAAGTGTCTGTAAGAAATAAGAATTAATTGGGACATGGAAATCAGAACCAATATGAGCACATTGTGATACATATGTTTTGAAGGCAAAATTTTTCAAAATTTGTATACATTACATTATTAAATACATGTAGAAACACTATATTTGAATTTAGTCAGTTTATTAAAGTTCAAAGAAAAATTTATGTTTGTTGATAAGAAAGTGTGAGTACTGCACAAAGCCAACACTGAGACACTGAGTCAACCAAAGCTTAACGGACTTGAACTTAAGTCTAACAAACTTCTTGTCTTGGGATTTTTTTGCAAGAAAAATGTGATTATAAGAAAAATTATAAGGGTAGATTAGTATTTCATGATAAAAAGTTCAAAATGAGTTAAAGATTAACCTGTCTGTACACATAACTAGGGTTGCTAATTAGGGATGTAATTCTGAGATTTGAGTTTGGATAAGGGTATCTAAAACTAATTTTCTATTCTATAGTCATCTACACTCCCCCTCATTCGGGAGAACGGGAGATGCAATCATATTGTTGTTATCTGCATAAACGTTGACTGTATATATCCATCAGCAACCAACAACACTTTTACTGGGAAGAAGTGGGACCAAATCCCGCAAACTGCTGGAATGTGGTGCATCCATCTCTGTCATTATAGCCTGACACCAACCTGGAATTAGAAGAGCTTCATGAATATATTTAGGAATGGACACGGTGGAGAAGTGAGACAGGAATTTAGAATGTGAAGACGTGTGATGATAGCTCAAGTATGTATGTATATATAGGATGTTGATTACAAGTGGAGTGTTTTCTTTCCGTAGAGCAATGGATAATTCATTGTCTATCGGCAGTGTTGGATCTGCAGTTGGAGAAACATGGGTGAAAATTGATCCGTGGGTGCGGATATACAATGACTTAGTGTGGTCTTTGAATATGATGACAGACCTGAAGTAGTTGTTCATTGTGATAGGAAATCTGGGCTGTCTCTCTGTGGGGGTAGGTACAAGATTTAGAAACAAAACTGGGTTGGGATAAACTGGATTTGAAGCGTACAAAGGTTACACTTCAAAGATAGGAGAAGTGTCAGATGTGACAGCGATAATACATAGAAGACCCTAAATGGCACATCAGTAAAAAATTATCATCTATGCTATGGAGAGTAGCATTGGTACCCTTTTGTAAATGAGAGTAGTCCATCCAAGAGCTGCCAAGAGCCATGTTGCATAAAAAGCAAGTGTGGTCTGATGTCCATGATGGAAGTGAAAATATTGTAAGATTGGGAAAAAGCGAATTCCCAAAACGGTCCTTTCTAATAAGGTATTTTCCCAAATTAGTCCTCAATAAGCAATAATTACAAACATGGTCTTTTGAAATTGAGATGTATTCAACTGGGTTTTTGTTGTTGTTGTTGTCCCTAAAAAGTCCTCTGTCAAAAATATCTATTAAATGTCAATTAAATGGGGATATTTTTCTATTTTCCATCATCTAAACTATGAATAAGTCCTCAAAATGGTCCTTTCAAATAAAGTGGTGGCTGCTAGAGAAACGGACCCACCCCGAGTCGGCTCATGGATTCCATTTCGGGAAAACACTTAGAAATTATCAGTTTGAATTTTTTTTTATAAAGAAGCATTTCAGAATATACCTTTAAGTCTAGATGATAGAAAATAACAAAATACTTTCTATTTAACTGACATTTAAAAGAATTTTTTGACAAAGGACTATTTAGGGAATAAATCTAAATTATAAAGGATCACGCGGGTAATTATTGCTTTTTGAGGATTAATTTGGAAAACACCTTATTAAAAAAGACCATTTTGAGAATTCACTCATCGGGAAACATGATGGAATATGGTGATTCATTGGTGAGTAATTAAGTCATTCGAGTTACTAAATGACATGCACTCATGCACTGAGAACTGCATCAGCCCAATATAAAGGACAATTACCACCTAGCAAAAGTGTACATATTGTATCAATATGATGCCAGATTTTCCAATATACAACTTTATTTTGTCGAGTGGTAGAAAAACATGAGGATTGATGCAACATTCTTTTATAATATGGGTTGGAAGAATACTCCTATGCAACATTCTTTTAGACTTCTTGTGCATTGATACAACTTTATGTATGTAGTGTATGGGTGGGTGGGAAGAATACTCTTGTGCATTACAACTTCACAAGATGTGGAATAGGGGTGGACACGGTACGGTTCCGGAACCGCCACCCCTTGGTACCGGTACCGGTACCGTACCGGCCGGTACCAGTTCCGGTTCCGGTACTGGCGGTTCCGGTACCGGACCGGCCGGTTTTGGCCACCCCCAATTTTCTTTTTTTTTTGCTTTTTTATTAAATTTTTAAAGTGTAAAATTGTAAATGTGCAATTGTTAAGGAAAAGGATGAAATAAAAAAATTAAAAATAAAATTGATAAAGGAAAGAATGAAATAAAAAAAAAAAAAAATTAATAACGGTACCGGAACCGGAACCGGAACCGCCGGTACCGGTACCGGTACCGGTACCGAAAATTGGGTGCCGGAACCGGTACCGGAGTGGGCGGTACCGGTACCGGTTCCCGGAACCGGTGGAACGTCCCGGCCGGCGGTGACGGTGGCGGGTACCAGCGGTACGGTTGTCGGTCACGGTACCGTACCGGTACCGTGTCCACCCCTAATGTGGAAAGTTTTGTCGAATTGGGTTTCAACTTAAACAAAAAAACCTTGGATGACTTTAAACAACTCAGAGCATTCCTTCATTAATGAGACCAAAGTGCATCTAGAAAAAGCATCAACAAAAAGAATGGCAACCTGAAACCCAATCTGAACGTGACTCAACAGGAACCCCATTCAATGGTGTGAAATAGTTACAACACATTAGTGAACATAGAATAAGATATTGATCCTTCCGTGCTCATGGCCGGAAGGATATAAGAGGAGTCTATGGCTAGACTCTCATAATTAGAATTTTGACTTCAACCATGATGATTTTATTAATGAATACTCACTCCATCCCATAAAAAAAACCTTATGAATGATAGCAAAAGTAGAGAACCAGTGCTAGAGTTTATTGCACCAACACCCCTGTGGTTTGGTAAATGCACACCATTAGCCCCTAAACTTTCAAAACTTACATCGTTGGTTCTGATATTCCTACGCCAATGCCCTTTTAGGCTAAAATACCCTTCAAATCTTAGGTGAATAGCTCCGTTGCCCCCTATGGTTTTGGAAATGAGCACAACACCCCCTATCTTTTTTTCTTTTTTTTCATGAATATTTTTTTTCTTTTTTAAAACGAGGAAATTTAGGACTTATAAATTTATTCAGAAAAGGAATTTTTTCATCCAAACATCATAAACTAATACATCGAAATATAAGGCAAACGTGCAACAAGCTGCGTTGCTAGCCTTTTTGAATAGCAAAACTAAATCTTTTGAAAAGTACATCCATAGATCTAGGGGTCATACAATAATTATGCATGACCCGTTGGACTTGACTTAGCAGCTCTATGGCCTCGGGCGCGAGGAAACCAAAGGTGTCATATGCAAATGGTATAAACACATGTTGGTTGTCAAGACACACTTTCTTGTGTTTGGTCACTTTGCATGAAGCAGCTTTTAACGCAGCCTCACCCATTATGAAAACACCAGTCTCCAAGCTGACAAGAGGAGAAACCCCTATTAAATCCACACAAGCAGCGTGTTTTCAAACCATCCATCCAAAGACCAAAACTAATTCTATAATGTTTTAAAAATAAAAACTTTTTTGTATTTGAAATAAAAAAAACTAATGAAATAAAAAAATTTATCATACACTTAATTTGTCTCTAACTTAATATTTTTATTTTTTGTCCAAAAAAGATCCTTATTGGTTCATTTTCATGAAACAAAACTCAACGAAACATTTTATCCTTTTTGCAGTGAAGATCATTTCCCATTCAGTTCGTTTTTTGGTTATTTAATTATTTTTGTATCTCTTTTTAATTTTTTAAACTAATTTTATAATGTTTCTTTTTTAAAATCAAAATTAAAATAAAAAGAATAGATAATAAAATGAAGAAAAAATATGAAACGGTACTTTTATAGAAAAGAGAAAATTAAGTCATGAAGGAAATATGTCGGGCATCAGTCCAAAATAAGATCTTACTCTGAAGTCTTTTTTTCCCTACTGATTCAAAAAGTAAGATTTCTTTAAGATAAAAAAATGAAAATATTTAATTCGAGACAAATGAAGTATATGTTAATTTTTGCACTTAATTTTTATTTCAAACACAAATAATTTTTATTTTTAAAACATTTTAAAAATAGTTTCAAAAAATTACTTACTGACATTTATGAAAAAATAGAGAAGAAAAAAGAAAAAAAATAAAGAAAAAAGAGTGGGAGCGGAGCTATTCACATAAGATTTGAAGGGTACTTAAGTGTAGAAGGGGCATTGGCGTAGAAATATCATAACCATGAAGGGTAACGACGTAAGTTCTGAAACTATGGAGGATAACGATGCACATTTACCAAGCCACAAGGGATATTGGTGCAATAAACTCACTAATGCTAATAGTAAACTACTTTTTATCACTACTACTAATTCAAGAAAGGACTAATTAATACAGAGTAATAATAATAGATGGTTTTGGAATTTTACTTCTGTATTCCTTTGTACACGAAGAGGACATCGAGTGTGACTTTTCCGTTCACCTTTTTACATGAATTTATAGTGTAAACTAATTTTAGAAGTTAGATAATTAATTCACTATATATTTCATAACACCTTCCCTAACATAGTTGGGATTAAGATGATGGTGATTAATGGATGTATTGGGTTGGGAGTATCATTTATAGCCTATATGATGCTTTATATAATCTTACTTTAGACACTTAAATGTTTAAAAAACAAGGTGTGTTACTCAAGTGTGAGGAAGGTTATGTGGAGACATGGAGTAGCTCCTAAATATGCAAGTTTGCTAGGCTAAGAGGAATACTTCCAGAAAGTCAAAAGCTGACATAACTAGAATGTCCTCCAATTCTTATTCAGCAAGAGAACCTGTATTAACACAGTAAGTAACATATAAAACTCGCATCACAGATACAAGGATTTCAATTTAAATATTTCTTTTTATTGAAATGGCATATGACAGATATTTTTCAAGCAACGACTCTCTATCAGTTTAGATGTTGGAGACTCGGATTACATAACCTGATCTAATGTAGTCACACTCAACTCTGCCAAAGAGTAGTGGTAATTATACTAGTAAGTAGTATTATGGAGAATTGGGGGGGGGGGGATGTTTGCAAACAAAGAAATGTTAAAATACTCTGTATATAATTGTATATTATCATCTTCTTAAACATACCTGGTGAAGTTTGGGTCACTTTCAATTGTATCTCCATGGATGACCTCCCAACCCAAGTAACAGCCCCCTCAATTTCCAAATCTAAATCAATACGAATAGGTTTCTTCAAAACCATCTTGTCAACAGAGGCAGTAACAAGCAATAATGGCATAGTAGTGCTATCCACATCCGAGCAGTGCTGGATTGCAGAGAAATCAGAAATATGAGAGTACTTTCCGAACCATGTAAATGACAGATTATAGCAATATGGAAAAATAAGTATGGAAGAATAAGTTATAAGTACATACAGAAACGCCACATTCTCAAAGTGTGTGCTCCAACTGCCACAACTGTACAGTGTCCTGACATTCCCCACCCCCAAAAAAAGGAAACTAAGGTATGGTACATATATGACAATTTTCTATCTATCATGGTAACACAATGGAAATGCAACAAGAAGAAGAAGAACAACAACCCAGTTGAATCCCACAAAAGTAGGGTGTGTGGAGGGTGTGTGTAGGCAGACCTAACCCCTACTCGAAAGTAGGGAGGATGTACACAATGGAAATGCAATGAATAATTAAAACAATGTTATACGCTAGCAAGAATTTCATTACGTCCGACAACATTAGCAACAGAACTGAAGATAAATGTCCCAAGAACAAAACAAGTGCTTGTTATAAAACAGAGTCCACAATCCAGGTGTACAGACTAATGAGCATCGAAGAACAGAGTGGCAGCGTTTACAGAACTTTTGAACCGAAAATCTACCTTGTAAGATATTGTTCCAGCCAAAGCATCAAGGTCTTCAACTAGCCTTCCCATCCTTATCATATTCCAAGGGTTTCTATATTGTTCTCTCAGAGCATAATCAGTGGAGAATTTGTAGAACACACTTGTCCTGCTCATTCTAGGACTCTTGGTGACTTTACCTTTGGGAGGGGAATCAGAGGTGGCCTGCGAAAGCACGTCAACAATACTTGATCTTGCCTCCCATAAGGCTTTTGTCACAGGTGAATGGTGTATTCCAGGCCAGAAAACTGCAGGCTTTCGAATGGAAGAACCTGCATCAATAGGAGGGTTAGAGCTATCTAATGAAACAGCCGGAATGGAGTCGTCCCGTGGAGGAGATCCATTTGAAGAGCTAGAAAATCTTCTCAATTGCGAAAACCGGGAGACCAATCGGGCGAGTGAATAGCTCCGGGGATTTGAAAATGGCGAAACGCAATCCAGATTTCGATGTATTTGACCGCCATTGGGTAGTGCTGTGTCTTCGGATAGAAGAATTTGAGCGGAATCTGAAACGAAGAAGTAAGAAACAAGTGTCTGAGCATGCATTCTGATCTTGAAATCATTGAAGGATGATGGATCGAAGAGATGATGATGATGAGGGACGGGCGGTGGTCGTAGAGGTTTCATGCAGTGGAAGAAAAAGCCCTTCATTGGCGAAGAAAAATAGTTCTTCTTCTTCTTCTTCTTCTTACCGGCGAAATATCTCCGCCGTTATCTGTAATACGGGACGCCGCTGGGAACGAGAATCCCCCGGTTGTTGCAGCCTTGCCGGATCAGCTCATCAGCACGACATTTTCAGGAGGCAAAAATTAGGTAGTTTTATTTTTTTAGTCAAATTTTACATTTTTTTACCGTAAATTACGAAAAAAGTATATTTAGTTATAACGTAAATTTAGTAAAATTAAATTTAGTTTAAAATATAATTCTGAAATATCATATTTTTATAATATTTAATTACTTTAAATTATATTTAATTCATGATAAAAAAAGATCACAGTTTGACCAAAAAAATCAAAGTGTGGTAACCTTTTGGGGAAAAGGAAAGTATGATATTTTGGTGTTATTTTTAATTTTTGTTCTTTCTTTATGTTAGGATAGGATTATGTTAGGATAAGATGTGATAGTTAGATAATAGTGAATATGCATAATCTGATTGGTAGCTTAATAATTTGTAGGGATAAAAAAATCGATTGAAAATCTATGCATTTTTTGGTGGAACGCTCACCCCGAGCTCTCCTACACTCCGGCCTAATAAGATTGTGAAGAAATTTTAGTTTAAGAAACGGAATCAATAGATTCTTGCATTTGTGTTCAAATGCAAAATTAGGATATAAGTAAAGACACGAGGACTATGCATTTTTTGGAGTGGATGGAAAGTGAGAGTAGAAAGGGTTTTTTTGGGACAAATTGAGTATTTTATTTTTTTAAAAAGTAAAACGTTTATGGTGAACTTCTTGAATAAGAGTTAAAATTATGAAAATACAAAAATAGAAGCCATTAGTCTTTTAAGATTAAAATAATAGTTTACATTCTCATTGCTACATATCACACTTAACACATTATCTCATTGCAACTGTCACACTTTCACTGCCACGCTACCATTTGTCGTTGCCGATTGCTGACGTTCATTGGTTGTCTGCCAATAACTGACTGCTCACACCACCGTATTACACTGTGATCACTTTTTTTTATCACACTACCATTATGCTCATATTTTAATCTTAAAAGACTTTAAAAAATGTAAAATGTATTTTGAGCTAAATAAAACACCTCATTAAGAAGGACCATTTTGAAAATTCACTCTTTCAAGTTTCAACAAAGTTGAAGTCCTTAATCTACTTCATCTTTCTCAAAATAATTTACACCTTTACCATTTGGCCCCTCTGCAGCCCCTCCCCTCCACTATGTTAATTGGCTAAACTTTGGTAACGTGTCAATCCAAAGTGGACCTTTATTGCTTTAATGCCTAATGGTATTGATTTTCACATACTCCCTCCGTCCCAAATTATTTGCAATATTTACTTTTTTAGCAGTCGCGAAAACTTTTGTTTGTTTTTATGTTTTCATTGGTTATTTGATAAAATAAAATATTTTTCACGCCTCTCATTTCGAAGAACTTTTCATGTAGTTTTTTGATATGTAAATTTTATTTTTTATTTCTATAGCAATATGTAAATAAAATGAATTGAAAAAGCTTGATATTTTGCCTCGGGAATACAAATGTGGCAAATATTTAGGGACGGAGGAAGTAAATAAATCAGTAACTCCATACAGAAAACAATAAAATTTAATGTAATGGCGTTTTGGGAATCACGAGAAGCAGAAACACAAGCAAGTGTGAAGATTGAAAACATCAATGCAAACCCACTAGTGGACCTGAGATCTAATCCAAACACGAGTTTAACAATATATGATACATATGTATATTATAGGCTACAAGCATCACTCATTCACAAAGCAACAGACTTTTTAAGACCCAAATTCTCCGATAGGCGAAATGTTTGAAAATCGGACCCATTTTTGGGCGTTATACGAGAACAATTATGAGATGGATGGAAAAAGAAGAAGGTGATAATGGCACATACAACATTTTACAATCAATGGCTCTTCTTCACATCAAATGAACTGGTATTCTGGATTAAATGCAAGAGCCTCGAGGTAAATCAGCTCCTTCATTTGTTCCTCCGTGAGCGCGTGCTGCTCAAAGTCGAAGCTGAACGGATTCATGCATGTCGGTTCGTCACTGATGTCATGAAGTGACGTTAGGTAGGGGTGTGCAAGGGCATCTTCCACTGAAGCCAACACCCAAAAAACATAGGATTAGTGCAGCATAACAACAACACAACACTATTGTGTGGGGGATATTTTTCAACATTTTCTTGTTTTCTCTTCAGATTTCACGACTAAAAGATAATGACATCTTAACACGAACAGTTGCGGTCATATAACCACATTACTCGTACTTGATTGCACTTGTAAGGCAATAGACCTGTCACAGAGTTCAATAAACAAACCTGCTACCAAATAAAGTAAATGAAACTAATCCTTCCGTCCCATAAAAAGGTTCAACATTCCTTTGTTTGTGTCTTTGAAAAAGGTTCCTCTTTCCTTTTGAGGAAAGAATTGTGTGGCTCACGCAATTTCTCTCCACCGTACAAACTCAACAACACACTTTCACCTTAATTAATAATCGCGTCCAACCAATCATGGAACCTTATTTCGGGACGGAGGGAGTAGATCAGTTCAGACTTCGAAAGGTAACAATTTGCAAGTGAGGAAGACGAAACTGTGAAAACACATCATTTATAGCATGAAGTTAAAAAAGAAAAAAACTATTACACGGTACAACTTAAGGCTGGCAACCTTATGCCGTCATATTGCTCAAAACTACAAATATTACTTAAGACATCATGTGATGATGCCCCTAATAGGATGACAAAAACAGAGTTATGTAGAAGAATAGGCTTTCACAGCTTAGAAGCTAAATACTGGTCTTATATGAATGAGAGACAAAGAAACAGATTTGCAATAGAAGATGGAGAATTTCTAACCTGTAAGTCTTTTTCTAGGATCAAATGTCAACATTTTCTCAACAAGATCAATAGCAGCTGGGTGCACTTGGGGGAATTTTTCAGTGAATGACTGGCGGCGGTAAAGAGGAAGTTGACGGATATATCTCTTTGCATTGTCATTCAAGAACTCCATTTCAGCTTCCGAAGGAGTACCAATAAGCTGAAACATGTACACCTTATTAAAAGTTACTCGAGTAAAGTAAGCACATTTGAAAATGCCTTACACTCCTACAATGGAATTCATGTCATGTGTTACAAGTATTTCAAGAATTTAGCAGGAAAAGTTACAAATTTGGTCACAATTTCGGAGTATGGAGTTGAGGTGGGGGCAGGACAAGGCATGGACAGCCATTTAACAAATGCAAATGCTAACAAAAGCCATTAGGGAGTTCTTTATGAAATTGAATTGAGAAAGCTTTGTTACTGGGATGTTAACATATGTAAAAGTTGGATGCAAGACCTTGAATATATTATGGCATTAGTTAACAAGACCTTTAATGAATATATTGTCTTCTGAATTCCGCAGGCAATCATCAAAGCTAAAATTAGATCCTGAGGATCGGGTCGATGTAATATAGGCACTCACCACATTCATGGGGAAGAAAAACAATGAGAAAAAGGATGCATTATACGCCATGTTGGCAGTTATTAGTAAATTAATAGTATATTATATATTCAGCATTAGGTTTCTTAACAAATGAATTCATTTAAATACGAAAAGCATCGAAGATTGGAATTCTTATCAATAATGAATGAATCTATGCATCCCATTCATTTTCACTATTCTTCTTTATTAAAATGCCTATATCATTGAATGAGTATATAAGCTATACTCCATCCCACAAAAAGGGTCAAACCATCAAACTTCTGGATTATATTTGTTCAGAAAAAAGAATGTGCATTTAATGAAAACAAGCTAATTTTCATGTTTTACAATGGAGGTACCTTAACTCATAGCTTAAAATGTACCTTGTTGAAATCAAGTTCTTTTAATGGATGACGGGAGTTTTTCCTTGCAAAATCTATTTCTTGAAGTTCTTTGTGTATTGTTTTTCTTTATACCAAATCAATAATATCAGAAATCAGTCATCAATATCTTAATTGAAGCTAAACTAAGACAAATGGGCCAAAAATAGAGTGATGCTAAATCCACCCCTTATTTTGCTAAATCCACTCCATTAGTCCATTTATAAGAAATTGACAACATTACCTTTCACTTCTTTCTTTCTCTTTTCTAAACATTAAAGGTAAACTTGTCCATTTCATATAAAAAGGGGTAGACATAGTCAAATGAGGAGTGGATTTAGTAACAATCCCAAAAATATAGTCAGTGTTGCAAACTTTAGTGATGTGAGTACCGAGTACCAATCTTGTAGTTAGTTGGTTAAATTCTAAAATCTAAACAAAGGAATCGTGGGTCACTCCAGTGGAAATGTTAAAATGATACACTTTACAAGGTTCTAAATAATATTTTCAATGTGTGGATGACTTTACCAATGAATACTTTAAAGCCATTAAAGTGATTTTTTGCATGTCACATTCTAGAGATTAACCACTGCACCTATGCATACAACAACATTACCCAAGTGCGTCAAAGGCTCCTACCCATGGCCGCAGCCTGGCCCCTGTGTTTAAAACATAGAGCGGCTGTTTCTAGATGACCCATGATGAGCGTAGAAAGTTGCATTGACTAATTATTACTTGAGTGTAAAAGAAGTGCATACAGTTTAGAGTCATTTTTGCTTTATTCCATCATACCGCAAAGCAAAAAATAATGAATCTTTGGCTCCATCAGAGATGATGGATACAAAAGGTTACTTTATTCTACTCCACCTATGCGTAATTGACAATAAAAGCTTGAATGGAATTATCATGATTGAAGCTTAAGGTATTGAAAGAATGGCAGCAAACAAACTTTTTAATGCAATTTGTAGTGATGATAAAGCTACCAGTGTTGACAGAATGGCAGCAAACAAATTTTTAGATGCCGATTGTAGTGATAAAATGTTTACCTCCATAAGAAGACGTAACTGGTGCACATGATCTCTGCCAGGAAATAAGGGTTTCCGATCCATAAGTTCCATGAAGATGCAGCCCACTGACCATACATCAATTGCTGCAGTATAGTCTGAAGAATTTAACAACAGCTCAGGTGCCCGATACCATCTTGTTACTACATATTCGGTCATAAAATCTGTTTCAGAAGTGACACGGGCTAACCCAAAATCACATATCTTCAGATCACAATTGGCATTTAAGAGGAGATTGCTTGGCTTCAAGTCCCTATGCAAAACATTTGCTGAGTGTATATATTTCAACCCACGGAGAATTTGATACAAGAAATACTGCAGAGAAAAGGCACAGATGAGAAAAAGATTGATAACCGCAAACAATCAACACTTCGTAATCATAATATGCACTCAATGAAAAAAAATGAAAAATCAAGATTTGGAGAAAAGACAAACACATTGCTAATACCTTTATATGCATATTTTGTTTATAGAACTAATTTTGTGGTCACAGAATAGGAATGTTATTCCATTTTTTGGTTCATCCACCACTTACAATGAATTCCATTCCTCTACTTGATAACAGGAATAGATTCAGCAATCCTCCAGAAGGCACTTGAGTAGTGCCTAGACCACCTTGAGAGCCTACGCGGACATCTAACCCACATAGAGGGCCAAACCCTCCTAGGAGCAAATCGCGGTCTAGGGGAATCTAGTACCTAGGATGCGCCTAGATAGCAGACTAGGCCAATTTTTACAACAGTGGAAATGAGATTAACCAAACAAATGACAAAAAAACTCTAAATTATATATCAATTTTTGTTTTTTGCGGAACTCCAAATCCAAAATATATGGGTGAACTTTATTCAACTATTTAGGTCAACAGAGGATTAATCTTCTATTCCAGATCTTGGTAGATTGAGGAATGAATGAGATTATCTAAACAATTATAAAAGTGCTGTTGAACCCCTTTCAATAAATGTTTATGTAGTACTTTGCCAATTCCAAAATATATGGGACATTCAATTTTGGGGTGATTTGTGAGAAATCACGTAAGCTACAATCCACTTTCAGATTTTTCCCTTTTAGTGTAACATCGATAAGAGCTAATTTGCTAAACTTGGGAAAAATTAAGAATGTTAACATAGAAACATAAACAATGGTTGGTAAAAGTAAAAAATAGTTATACTCGTATTCGATAGAGTAGTTTTGGAAAAGATTAGACACAAGGAATTGTTAGAGTCCCACATCAGAATATCAGATTATTTGAGAAAGAACGATAGGTTAATAAGATATAAGTTGAACTAGCTAATGAATTAGATTAAATATTTTAGTATGGCTTGGCGCAAGTGTCATATGGCCTAGTTTAATGACTTTCTCTAGAAGTTCAATCTGTTATATTCAAAATTTCCTAGTTGTTCAACTGAGAGTTTGTTAGTATCCCACATAAGATTATTTGAGAATGATTGATAAGATAATAAGATCTTGAGTTGAACTAACTAATCAATTAGATCCCATATCTTAATGTGGATTGACTTAAGTATCTTTTGACTTAGTTAAGCGACTCAAACCTAGTCCTCAACTTTATCAAGAATAGAAAAATTGTCTTGATTATATGCTAATCCGAAATCAATAATTCAACTAGATTAGCTCTTTCCTCATTTGATAAATTCCATACTAACTAAATAGGACTCCATATATTTATCAGATAACATAAACAAATGAAATCAGTTTGACATAAATAAAAAAGACATGTCACACATTTTCCTTTACAGTGAGGAAATGGAAAAATGAAAATGAGACATGAGATATAGAAATTTAAATATAAAAATGTACATAGTATGACATAAGATAAAAAATGTAAATTAAAAAATAAGGATATGTAGTATATGAATGTAAGTGTTTTGTGTAAAATAATCATATACATTAATTATGAACAACTTGCATAATGCGTGGTAGAACTACACTCCTTCTGACCTCTGTCCCACTATTTTGTCCCTTTTTACTCTTTTTTTTTGTTTGTCACACTATTTGGTCGCATGTCATATTTAGTAATATTTGTGTGCCTTACATTCATTTTTACTTTTTCTTACACTTAACATCAATATCTATCACACATTTCTACTTTTCTTAGTCTTTGGGTCATTACCCCATGTCCCAAAAATAATGCGACAAAGGGGGTTATTAGAACATGCATATTAAACACATGAGTAAATATGTGAGCTTCAAAGTAGTTTGGTTTAAACGATATATTGATTAATTAATATGGCTCAAAATATGAAAACATAGAGTTATCAAGTAAATCTTAGATTTGATCACTTTGAAACATTAACCACAAATATATTGAATATTATAAAGAAAAAAATTAATTTATGCTTAAATCATGTCAATCGCCAATTGAAGATACAATATTAACTTTTAGAGTTTATAAAATTTCAGGTAATCAAAGGGTGGGAAGAAAAGCTATGCATTCATAAAACATCTATACCTATAATAATCATAATATCATATGCACATATTTTTTTTGGGTTGAGGGGCATAGGCCGCCTCAATCATGAGTGTGCATCCATCCCTGGTTGTAAGGGAAATTTTAGTAGGAATACCCTAATCCATTACCCATGCCGCTTTGTATGCTATAATATCACATGACTACATGGTATGCCAAATTGGCATGTCTGTAGTGTGAGGAGACACAACATTAACCCTATCAATCACCATAACATCATTGTCACTCATTATCTTGCCCTACCGCCTACCACATCTCACCTCTATCACCTGCTACCTCACCTCGGCCGCCTTCCTACTCCAACATGTCAGCACTATAGCCTGTCACTATTGCCAACCACCTCGGATTGGCAAGTGGCGTGGCATGCCACATATATGTCTTACATTATTATGTGCAAGAAATCTTGCAATTTATCATGCAAGAAATCTTGTATCATAATATTTGTAGAGGAATTAACATCAAGAATATATCACTTGATTTAAAACAAGTTTTCAACTAAAAATATGTAATTACGTCCTATAAGCATTCCACTTATTTTTCAATAGCACCTTTCTTATACTATTTATTTAATTTGTTTACAATATGGCCACCACAATGAAGTTCAAAGAGTCATTTTCACAATCTCTTAGCTTCAGAATTCAGATAAATAATTGACTAAATCAAAATGGCACAGTATACTTCTTCACCTGGGATAGTTTGACTACTAAATCAAAGTGCGACGTGTTTTATAAAACGGAGGGAGTAGTAAAAAAGTAGAAAAGTTAATGTTGACTGTCTTCAATATTTGAACTTAACCTGACAATGTTCTTCTGACAAGGTCTGATTGGAGCGAATAATTTGATGGAGATCAGTGTCCATTAGCTCATATGCAATATATACATCATTGAATGATTCTCTTTGAGGTGGTGGAATTATATCTCTTATTCCAACAATCTGTAAGATGAATATGCAAAGGATTAGATATAAGGATCAGACCATTATAATTTCAGCTTTCGTAGTTAAGGTTTCATGTATAAACAAAAACATGCATCATCTTTAATTATTCAACATCAGATTTTCATGCTATAACTTAATAATGGAATGACATCTAATGCAGTGTTTGTAAAATTGGTAACCAAAATTCAAAACTGCTACTTTCTTAATTAGTCAAAATGAATTCAATTTCTTTCTTAAATTATATATCCAAATAATATCTCCAATGCTCAGCATCCTAACTGCACCTGATATCTTTCGTAATCCATCAAAGTATATGTCATTGATTGGTACCATCTCTGTTTTCCTTTACTCACCGCATACCGAATACACACAAGACGCAAACAGTTAAAACTCAAATGCAAAGCAGTTGTGAAAAGCAAGCACATAGCAATTCACATAATATTTTTGTGTCCTCTTCATAAGGAGTCAAATTAGCAATTTTGTATGCTCAACCTCTCACTGTCATTCAACTACATGTAGAGCCAATATTTGGTTTCCTTCATGCAACGGATTATCTAATTTAACTTGATAATAATAATAATAATAATTCTAAAGCTGAATAAACAAGGACTGCCAATAACAAGGGCTTGTGTGTGAGACTGTGTACAGAGAGGGGTCACTAACATTTTCATGATCCATATGGCGAAGCAGCTTGATCTCACGCAGAGTCCTCTTGGCATCAATTCTGTTATCAAACGCATTGGCGATCTTCTTCAGTGCCACGTGCTCGTTCGTTTCCGAATTCAAAGCAGAGCTTCATTTCACCCCCAAAACAAAACCAGAAATCAAAACACGCCCATCCATCCACATCAATCCATCAAGAATCACAGAAAAAAAAAGTTAGGTCTGAAAACAAAAGAAGAAAGAGGGCAACTGACCAGACAATACCGTAGGCGCCTTTGCCAATAGGCATGATGGGGGGCTTGTACTTCGCGGTGATCTCGAAGACGTTGCCGAAGATGTTGTATTGGATGAATCTGCCGCCATGGCTAAGCGTCGCCGGAATACTGTCCATCCCCATCGTCTGTGACGGAGGCGGCGGCGGCGGCGGTGGGTGGCTAGACTGCGGCTGCTGCTGATGCGGTGCAGCCTCCGACATCACGGTGTCCGCCGGCGGCTGAGCAGAACCTCCGTCCATTTTCTCCCCCGCCAAGATGCCAAATAACGGTAATTGCAATGATTATTATTGTTGGAACGAACTAACCACTATAATAAGGAAAATCTATTAATTATCAATAATTAATAGTAATTATGAAAACCCTTTGGTTTCAATTAATTGATCTTCCCCGACGATAAAAATATAAAATCGAGCTGGCCATGGCCGGTGTTCTCTCTCCGGTGTATTTCTATTTCTCTCTTCTTGGGTCAACGCACCGGCTGTATTGGGAATACGGGTTTCAAACTTTTTTGCATCTCATATGGGCCCTTTTAATAAAAAAACTCTTTTTTTTTTAAATAAAAACTTTTGAATTAAAAAAAGTTGAATTAGTCAACTAGATTAAATTAAGGGCATGTTTCTAAAGAAAATAATGCATTTATTAAAAAAATAAAGAAATATAAAAGAAAATGCAGAATCACGAATGGATCAAGTGCTAATGCTAGATTTTATTCCACCAACATCCCCCTTATGATTTAGTAAATATGGAGTGTTACTCCTCATGGTTTAAAACTTACGATGTTGTCTCCTATGATTCTGATAATACAATGTCAATGCATCTCTCCATAAAAATATCCTTCAAATATTAAGGGAATAACTCTACTGCTCATATGGTTTTGGTAATGGATGCCAACACCCCCTCTCTTCTTTCTTTATTGTTTTACTTTTTTCTTTTCTTTTATTCATGAAGAGAAGAAAAATATTTTTGTGTGAAATGGTGAAAAATTATTTTTTCAAACCTACGCTTTTAAAAAAGTTTTAAAAAATAAACAAATGTTTGTGTTTGAAATAAAAAATTTAACATATACGGAGTACTTCATTTGTCAAATTAAATATTTTCATTTTTTGTCTAAAAAAGTGTTATCTTTTTGAATATATGTCGGGACCAAAGAATACTCAGTAATATATTTTTAGTATATAGTTAATTGTATACTAATAATATTTTTTGACCAATGCGCAAAAACATTTCTTCATGACTTAACTTTTGCTTTTTTTTCTTTTTATTTTATTTTAATTTTGATTAAAATAAAAGAAACAGTACAACATTAATAATCAGAAAATGAGAAATGAGCTTAAGTAAAAAAAGAATATTTCATTGATTTTTGTATCATGAAAATGAATCTGATGGATGCATTCCACCCAGGACCCGGTCCGAATCCGAGTCCACAACAGTTGGTCAAGATGCAAACATATCAGGATGGAAGATTTTAGCTAAAAATAGACTATTGGTCGTGTCCGAAAAAATCAACCGATACAAACTTTAGACTCACTGGTCAGGGTACGTGGCCGATTTCATAACACATAAGAGGTAAACCTACGAGGTAGGTGAATACGGTGTAAAAGTGTCGACACGAATAACTCCAAAGTCGGTTGGACGATAGTGACGAAAGATTGAAGGAATATTCCCACAATCTCGACTAGGCGCTACGCGCCAAAGGAAGAGTGACAAGAGAAGGCGCAAAAGTTAGGGATTATGAGATACGGAGTAGGCGCTACTCATTTTTTCTAAAATCATTTTCTGTAAGTCATTTTCTTCTTTTCGACCCTTACTTCTCATTGACACGAGTAGGCACAAAATTTAGGGATTATGAGATACGGAGTAATATGTGCATATATTATCCGACTCAATATCCATCAATATTTTTCAAACAAATTCAAATACCAAGTGCGTATATTCTAAAAACAAGGTGACATGACTACCCCATTTTGTCCATGTCCATTTAGATAAGCAGGGCATTTCTTGTGACATTGGTCCAACCCGAGGCTACCACATTGATCTTTTAGAAAACTTGACTGTTCTTAACTCGCCTAAACCCCCCTTCTGTCGTTGATTGCCTACAATGATCATTGTAGCCAATTGGTAAAAGGGGAAAGAGGGTACAAGAGAATAGGAACCAATTAATTTTTTAAATTGTAGAAGGCCCGGGTCACCATATGATATTGATGTTCAATGTCACATGAACCGACCGTTAAACACGAGGCGGTTCCTATAACATTGGTCACAATATCATGCTATGACCTTAGGCTCCTACATTGTTCCATTTGAATAATCAATGTTTCATGTTCCCCTAACCCCCAACCACCCCCTCCCCTAACCCCCCTCCATTCACCGATTGGCAAAAGTGATTATTTATGAATATATGTAAATAATAAAAAAAATAAAAATATTTTGACCATGTAAATACTAATTGTGTCTTTACTTTTGGAACCCTAAACATGAAACTGCAGTCCTAACATCCCTAACATGCACATCCTACACATACCAGTGCAAACAAACAGGTAGGAAAGACTAAGATAATGCTATTATTGGTTGTGCATTAGTAACCCCAAGGGGGTCGGGGGGGTGTGTTCGGGTCGGGGCCGGGTGGGAGGTACCGGGGGGTTAGGAGGGGTAGGAACCGTCAATTTTACGAACGGGGCACCGGAGCACCCCCGGGTCATCCCATGACATTGCCCTCCAATGTCACTTGAACCTTCCCCTTAGTAATACATCATACTATTATCACAAGAGGAAATCGAACATGACTCATGTGCATTTTTATCCTAATTCTCTCATCTGATTATTTTGATAAGATGATGATAAAGCAGTACAATATGCTCTCAAATCGAAAACAAAAACGGGTTGGCGAATCAAGCGAGCACGTTCTTAATAGTCATTGTAAGAACTGTTTAAAGCACCCACCACCTACATGCTCTCTTTCTTGGCAAATAAGAGAAAACATTCATTGGTCCAAACATGGCAACAAAATGAAGAACAGAAAGAAAGACAAAGGAGATGTTCAGATTAATGTCTATAGAGTGTTCTCTCATACTAACTGAAAACTAGCTGCAATAGAAACGAGCTTGCATCCATATCCGTCTTAATGTGAGCAGTAAAGCATCCCCGTCTGTAGAATAAAAAAAATGCAACAAATTATCAGTGAAGACGGTGAATACATATACCATTATGATGAATTCATTCAAATAGTGCATTCTTTTCATTTTTTGAGACAATGAATGGTATCTTAAACCAAATACTTTACCATCCAATCCACATCAGATGTAACGAGGCGGGAAAAAAACAAGCAGTACCAAAATTAACACTCCCATACTGGGGTATTCAACGTGGCCACATGAACCATTTTGAACAATAAAAGCCACATTTTATTGTCCATTCAAAAAACAGACATATCATGCAATCTAATCGGTCCGTAAACTATTGTTTGCTTTGACCAGGCAGAGTTTAAGGTGATGAAGAATTGCAGTTGAAATTTATCTAGGATAGAAATGATATTGTTTTCCTTAATGCGAACGAGTGTTGATTTGGGGCAGATGAAAAAAAGTGCAAAAATAATATAGGTTATCATGATACTCCCTTCACCCCACTGTGTTTGTCTTTTTTCTCCATTGTGGTATGTCACAAAATGTATAACATATTTGGTTAGGTTATTAAACTTTGACTTCTCCTACTTTTCCAAAATCTGTGTGACACTCTAACTCAAAACCGAAGTTTACTGGAAATCAGAGTGGTTCCTGCTATTACCTCTTCAAAATCAGAATGTTTACCTCTAGCACGGCAAGGTTGGATAATATTCTCTTTGAGGTGCATGGTTGGATAATATTAAGATGAAATGGGACGGTAAATTAGTAATGTGCGGAAGCAATCAGAACATATGAGGATTAAGAGATGCTTTTGCTGTTGAGGGAAGAAGAAAGGGGAAAGAAACAAAGAAGAAAAAGATGACGGCATAGTTATTTAAGGCGTGATGCGCACCGATGCACAAAGTACCTCTAGCGCCTCGATGCGCACTTGATGCGCGCGCATCACGAACACAATGCGCAGATTAAGGCACCAGTAGAATATTGAATATATAGTATATCTACATTAAGAATAGTATATATAAAATTGTTAAAAGCATAATAAAGGTTTAGAAATCAATTAAGATTGAAAACCACACATTGTACCATAGAGGCATTGATAAAATTAAAAACCATAAAGTTCAAAGAGCAACAAAAGTCATAGACAAAAAGCATTCAAAGAGCAACAAAATGATAGACAAAAGGCTAAGAAGGAAGAAAACCAGCGAATTATTAGAATTCGGGCCATCTTCCCCTTCTAAATCTGCAGATTCTTCCATACTACAACAAAGTGTTTGACAAATTAACTTGCCCGGTAGAAGGAAGAAAACCAGCGACATAAAAAAATAAAGTAAGAATAGACGGGAAGGAGAGCCGATATCACCTGCTTGACTGCTTCTGAGTTCTGCCACTTGCGAGACTGGAGGAAGAGACGGGAAGGTGTGCCGCGGTTTGGAGGACGTGCGAGCCAGGAGGAAGAGTCGCACTCGAAGAAAAAAAGAAGAGAAAACAATCGTTTAATTTGCCCAGGTGCCGTTTAATCTCCTTGGGGGTCGTAAAAGAAGGGAGGGTTTAGTCCTAATAAATAATGCTAATCCCTAAACCTAATTTATAAAATAATAAAAAAAGTAAACAGGGGTTCACAAGGCGCGCCTTTTTGCGCATCAAGGCACTGCGCATAATACGACGAGGCGCAGTAAGGCGCGCGCCTCATGAACTGCGCGCGCATCAAGGTTGCTGATGCACTGCCTCTAGCGCTTCGTGCGCATCGCGCCTCAGGCGCGCCTCAAGCGCGCTTTTCACAACTATGGATGACGGAATGGAGAACGAAAAAGGACTACTAACCATCACTGGCCCTTATATTATTAAGGTAAGATACACACATAAGGTACATGAAGACAACTTAGAAAATTGTTTTTAAAAACTGTTCACAATATTTAATGTTGCTATTGTCATAATATTAAACATGATTGGGAAGTACACTTTCTAGTGAATACGGCTACAAGTGTCACTCTGAAGGTAGAGTGTGCAATTGCAAAAATAAATGAAAGGATACAATGGGCAAATAGTAGTACTTGGGAACATAGGCAACTCACAAACCTCTAGAGGTGTTTACAAGAAATAAAATCGCCTAAAATTGCTTTCACTAGATACTTGAATTAAGTTTCAATAAAAAACATTCATTGATCAGGAATTAAAGACTGCTTCAAGAACATTACAAAGCAGTATTTTAAAAATGGTGTGCTATACACATTCATATAAATGGAAATTGTTGTAAAAAAACATACATAGCCAAAATACTTTTAAAAAGACAAAAAAATGAGGGATTCAATCATCCAAAATCTTGAAAAAAAACTAACAAAGTATATTTGTTCAAACCATGATTGCATCTACTAGTTGAACAAAGACTAAATCAATTAAAAAGCAAGTAGTATAACAACGTCAACAACAACCAGGCCTTCATTGCAATTAAAAGGGAGGGGCTACGTGAATAAATAGGAAAAGATTTGAAATCTGAATTTCCATGAATACCCATACGTGATATTGAATTCATAACAAAAAATTGAGATGGGACCTCAATCTCATTGATAGAACCTAAGATTTTGAGCATGACATAAATCAGGCAGCTTAGAGCACATGATGAGAATCCTTTAATAAAGGGTATCCCAAACATGAAATAGGAAAATGTAATCACTTAATGGCTCATACATTTTTGTCTTGCTGATGCAGATAGGTCTTTCATTCATTGCAGTCTTTTAAAAATACAAATGTGTTTAACAATGGAGAGGGAGAGGGACTTGGATCTGTTAAAAAAACATGTTAATTCTAAATAGTAACCCTATCAAAGAAAAAAATGTAAGAATACAACAATTAACCAAGAGAAAAAAAAGAACACAATAACACACCATTGAAACAACTTTATTATGAGGAAACCAAATAAGTGTCGGAGAGATAAGAGTTATTCATCTGCCTCAATCTAATTTATGAAAAGAACCTTGATTGAAAATATACTCAAGTGTTAAGAAAGCTGCCAAAACATAAAGAGGGAAAACTCATTACCCACTCAACGGCCGAGCCCAAGGAGCAAATTGTTGTTTTTAGGGAGGTACTGAATGTTAGGACTCTTGGCCAAGGTGTTAGCAATCTCCTTTGAGGCTTCAATCCTTCTGAGCTCAATTAACCCCGTGCCAGCGGCTGCAGTAGCATCTGAAATCAGCTTTGCAGACTCACTCTCACCCTCAGCCCGGACAATAGCAGCCCTGCGCTCCTGTTCAGCCTTCATAACAACGAATTTGGACCGCTCAGCTTCCTGTTGTGCCACCTGTTTCTGCTCTACAGCCTTAGAGAACTCAGGGCCATAAGACAAGTGGGTTATGGCAACATCATCCAATCGAATGTTGAAGTCCTTGGCCCTGTGAGTCAAGCTTTCACGAACCAGGGCAGACACCTGGGGACGCTCAGTGAGGAGCTGGTCGGCATTGAACTGGGCGACAACAGCTTTCAGAATCTCATTTCCGATGGAAGGGAGAACCTTGTCGTCATACTCCAGGCCAAGATTCTTAAAAATGTGGGGGAGGCGAGAGACCTCAGGGCGGGAGAGCACCCGGAGAGTGAGGTTCACCATCTGCAAATCCTTGGTTCCCGAGACAGAGGAGAAAGTGTGAGGCCTGGTGCGTATATCAAAGATGATCGGCTTCTGAAGCCAGGGAACGAGAAAATGAGTCCCCTCGCCGGTGGTCTGGTCGATCACTCCACGGACCCGATCGAAAATCACGGCGCGTTGGCCGCCATCGACGGTGTACATCGAAGAGCTGATCACCGTCGCACCCACTCCGACGCCAAAGGCGGCGCGGGCAAGGTTTGTCAGTAAGGAAACAGCTTGCTTGCTACCCATGTTGGCCGAGAATGGAGAATGGGAATCGGAGAACAGAGATGAGAGGGGGAATCGGAGGAGGCTAGGGTTTCGGTGGGATTTGGGAAGCTGCGTTCAGTTGTTATACCCAGTCTGGTTACGTTTGGTTTGTGATTCATTCCAAACAGTTCACCCAAAACAGAACCCAAAAAAAAAATGTACTCAGCAAAATATTATTTCACACTATTTTTTTTAGTGTTATACGTAGTATATTTTTTAGTATTATATGTGAATATTATTGGCATTTTAAATCATATTTTGAATATAAAGATGAGGGTAAAGTTTTTTTCCTACGTTTTACATTATTTTAGTTGTTTTTCTTTGATTCTGATTGCTTTTTTAAAATATGATCTAATCTAATTTGATATCATATGATCTTATCTAAATTGAAATTTTTAAATAAATCTAATCTAATTCATATTAACATTTTAATTGTTTTGATGATTTTATTGTTTTTAATATTATGATGATTATACGTATAATTATTACAATTATTCCATTAAAATATACTCCGTAATACACACCCAATAACTTTTAGGGAGTACTTCAAACTTATTTGACTTATCCTTCCTCTGTTCTAAAAAAGGGTTACGAGTTTGACTAAGTGTAAAATAAGGAAATGTTAAATTGTATTTTACTTCCAATTTTGTTCTTGATGGATGAGTAAAAGTAAGATGTGATTAGGGCTGGACACGGTACCGGTGCGGTACCGTCACCGGCAACGGTACCGCCGGTACCGAATACCGTCACCGTCACCGGGAACGAGCCACCAGTTCCAGGAACCGGTACCGGTACCGTGTCCGGTGCCCAAATTTCGTTACCGGCACCGCCGGTACCGGTACCGGTTCCGGTGCCGGTTTAATAATTTTTTTTCCCACTTTTTTGCTCCATTGCTCCAACGGAGGGATAAACCTGCAAAAAAAAAAAAAGTCAGTGTGGGGG